TCAATAAAATATATATCCTATATAATAAAAGCCTAACATGCAAATTTTCCCCTTGACCGGGAGTTTGACCAGGGGGCGGGGCTGGCTGGGGGGAAGGGAGGCCCCAGCCGGCAGCCGGCAGCCTCTAGGGACTCTACCTGTGCACAAATTTCGTGCACTGGGCCTCTAGTATATATAAAAGAGAGAGATGACTCCACCCCCAGTCATCTGCACCCCATCAAAGTGCTAGGAATGATCACAGTTGCCTCCGATTCATGGAGCACACTGTAGTGCAATTATTTCCAACAGTTTGCAGGCTCTGGGACACCACGGCCAATCTATACGTACCCTTTGCCAGGGGTCAGACTTCCGTGGTGCGGCGTGGGAAAACCTAGCGAGCAGCCTCGGCCGGTCCCACTCCGCTGTGCACTAAGGGATCAGCTGGCGTTTAACTGAAGTCTGGCGTGGTCTGAGCTGAGGTGGCCTTGATGGGCTTTCTGGAAAAAAAGCACGTGGCTTTAGCGAGGAGTTGGAGTTTCATGTCGTAGGTTACCTTCTAGAGCAGCGGTTCTCAACCTTGGCTGCACATTAGAATCACCTGGGAATCTTTTTAAAATCCTGATTTCTGGGCCTCATCCTCCGGAAATTCTGTTTCTTTGTGATGGGGTGGGGGCCACAACATTAGTAACAAAGAAACAGAATTTCCGGAGGATGAGGCCCAGAAATCAGCATTTTAAAAAGATTCCCAGGTGATTCTAACGTGCAGCCAAGGTTGAGAACCACTGCTCTAGGCAGTTTGATTAGGAAATTCTGTAAGAAAAAAAGGAAGATAAAACTTTCTGAAGCGATTTTATTTGAGTTTTGCCTTAGAAATCGCAGACTTCCGAAGGCTGTTGTCATTCTTGAGTCTTCGCTGCAGGGCCTGGGCGCGGGGCGTGCAGCCGCCCACTGCTCTGCTGATGCCTTGTCCCTGCAGGTGGCAGGACTGCGGACGCCATCGTGGATGCCGCTCTCAGTGCCCTGCGCCAGCTCGTCAAGGACCGCCTGGGGGGCAGGGGATACAGCTCTGGAAGACAGGTAAGGCTCCGGGGTCGGCTCTCCTGTGTGATGATGGTGAAGCCTCAGTGCACCCCTAACGGAAGATAGGTTTCTTTCTTAAATACTGCAAATTGGTGGGCTTTCTTTTAAAAAATAATAGGAGGTTGGGTCCCCTGACCCAGAGGGAATCAGCCCTCCAGCTTGCTCATTTGGCCGCCTCAGAACCTCCGTCATGGTAGCCCGTCAGTCCCAGGGCACCCTGCCCACCTGCGGGCCAAGAGCCAGCCCCAGAGAGGCCTCCTGGGCCCGGGGCTGGGGGAGGAGTGGGCACAGAGGGAGAGCGCCAGGCCACGCTCACGTGCACAGAGAGGAGGGCCCAGCTCCTCCGTTCGACGGCACAGGGGAAATGTGGGTGCCCTCTCGGCCCAAATCCGGGGCAGTGAGCCCAAATCCGTGGGAAATCCGTCATAAATGCATAGGGAAGAGGAGAAAGAAGTTCCTGCTCTATGGCTTGGTGTTTCAGATGCCCTGGTATGAGATGAGACGTTTAGCCATCAGATGCTTACGTTCCCTGATAAATGTAGATAAAGGGCCCTCTGCTCCTCTTGGTGCCCTGGCCTTCATCTCAGGCTGGGTCACTGAATGAGCAGTCGCCCCCTAGCTCCGGGCTCGGGCCCAGGCAGCAGAAGCAAGGTAGCAGCGCTCACGGTTTCTCAGGGTTGGCACTGAAGAAAAGCACTTGAGAAAAGGAAGGGGGGAGTTACTTTATTTTTCTTCAGTGGCAGAGACTGTGAAAAGGTGGTAACGGTAGTGACGTGCGGCATCCTGGGGCAGCCAGCCGTGAGCTGGAGTCTGAATTAGAATCGTGTTGTAAGGTGATTCTTTGAGTCAGGCTGAAGTTTCTCTTAGACAAACAGCAAGGGACCGGATTCAGATCCCTGTTGTGTTATACTGAATGTACTACGGGTAACTGTTTGAAACTAAATATTGTTTATCCAGCAAAAATGATATTACACAGTGTCCTCATTTGAGAAAGTTTTTACTTGAAAGAAAAACTCAAAAAACGTTAAAATCTGGAGGCGATTTAGTTATTGGTGCGTTTAGAATAGGGATCCTGTTCTTTTGGCCACTGCGTAGTTTAATGTTTGATGTCACGATGACAGGGTCGAAGTGAAAGTTCAAGTAAGAAAGACGTGATTGAGCTGACGGACGACAACTTTGACAAGAACGTTCTTGACAGTGAAGACGTTTGGATGGTTGAGTTTTACGCCCCCTGGTGTGGACACTGCAAAAAGTAAGTGCTCTGAACCAAGTCCTTTCTTAAGTCAGAGTTTTCAATACAATTATCCGGCTCGCTTCGGGGTTTTCTGTTTTTGTTTTTTGTGATCTACTCTCTTCGTCTTCGCCCACCCCGCCCCCCGCCGCCCCCTGCCTATAGCAACCGCCAATCTGTTCCCTGTGTCAAGGAGCTTGGTGCATGTGTGTGTGTGTGTGTGTGTGTGTGTGTGTGTGTGGTGCGTGTGTGTGTGTGTGTGGTGTGTGTGTGTGTGTGTGTGGTGTGTGTGTGTGTGTGTGTGCGTGTGTGTGTGTGTGTTTAGATTCCACATATAAGTGAGTGTGTAACTCCCTTTGAAAAGCTGAACCAGATCATAGATATAACCAATACCTCCGCCCAAAAAGCTCTGACTCTAAACGAGCGATAAACATTGGCTTTAGTCCCAGGAGTTTCCTCTGTCAGATTTTCAAAGGTTAACAGAGCTAAGCAGGCAGACTAGGGGGGAGTGACGAAGGACTGGGAAGCCCATGGGAAGGACACATCATGTCTTTCATAAATCTACAGAAAATGTTTTCCAAGTGTGACATCACTGGGCAGGCGGAAATGCGCCCTCAGTTAAAGTCTCTGTGCTGAGATGAGGCTATTTGTTTGCAGCCTAGAGCCAGAATGGGCCGCGGCAGCCACAGAGGTGAAAGAGCAAACGAAAGGGAAGGTGAAGCTGGCGGCTGTGGACGCCACGGCCAATCAGATGCTGACCGGCCGGTACGGGGTACGTTTATCAGGCTCTTCTCTTTGTGAAATACTCACCTTTTCCCTGTTACTTTACCCAGAACACCAGGCCTCCGTGTGGGAGGAGGGGGTGTTTCGTCTTCTTGTCATGAAGAAATTAAGCCACTTATTGTTATAACTAATAAGTAGTGAGTCTGGGAGCTCTCCCTCCCAGGATTCCACTGTTCCTGTGCGCCTAGTGTGGGCCTTTAGCTTTCCCACGCGTGTGCCAGTTGTTTGTAGGGCTTTTGAGTGGGTCCATTTGTTCTAGAGCAGATATGTTCCGTGTATATCCAGGGTTTGAATAAGACCTGGCCACGCCCTGCATCAGATTGTTAAACCCCCTGACTTACACTCCCTGTGTGTCATCCTTGGACACCGATGCAGGCTGGGAATATTTTTGACCTTAAATTACTCAGAAGGTGGTTTCAGAAACCATAAAGATTACCTTGCTTCTTAGTAAATGCTCATTTGATCTTTAATAGATTAGGGGATTTCCTACAATCAAGATATTCCAGAAAGGCGAGTCTCCTGTGGATTATGACGGGGGGCGGACAAGATCTGACATCGTCTCCCGGGCCCTGGACCTGTTTTCTGATAACGCTCCGCCTCCTGAGCTGCTCGAGGTCAGCAGGCCTGTCACACAGGGAGGGACGGCTTCGTCTGACGGGCGGGGAGCAGTAGGCCTCTTCAAGTTGACCCTCCTTTAAAATCCCCTTTAAAGTGTTTCTGAACTTTCAAATGGGCAAAACCTGTCGGATAAATCGCTGTTTTTCCTAACGTTAGCACTGAGATCATTGCACTGAAAAAGTACACCTGAGCTTCTCAGCAATAGAAGGGTCTTTCCTTTCATTCTGAGAGTAATAGCCAGCATTATTGAGCACTGAACTATGTACTAGGCACTGTTCTGCTTTTATGTAGATTTCCCTCATTTAATTCTCACAGGAACACTTAGCAGTAAATACTGTTTTTAATCTCCATTTAACATATGAGGAAACTGAGGCACGGGGAGCTGCAAATTCATATAAATATATGATGTGCATAAGTATGACAAGTGTCAGAGCCAGGCAGCGCCCGGCATTCTGACTTCAGAGACTGTGGGTGCGAGTCCTCAGCGCCCCAGATACGGCTGAGGACCCGTCACGGAGCCTCTGAGGCGGGGCTGGTGGTGGCTCGGGAGCAGCAGGAAGTGTCCCTGGGAGACGCCTGCTCCGCTCTGTCATGGAAGTGATGGTGCTAAGGCTTTGTCTCCGTCCCTGTCTGCCGGGTCCCAGATCATCAGTGAGGACGTCGCCAAGAAGACGTGTGAGGAGCACCAGCTCTGTGTGGTGGCCGTCCTGCCCCACATTCTCGACACGGGTACGCTGAACAGGAACTCACTGCTCTGAGAACATTTTCTAAAGCAATTCGTGCTACTCCTTTATTTCTGTCTTTACAATTTCTGTTTGTTTAAATCAGGAGCGGCAGGCAGAAATTCTTATTTGGAAGTTCTTCTGAAATTGGCCGACAAATACAAGAAGAAAATGTGGGGGTAAGTTACTGAACTGAGTCCCTCCCATGTGGGCAGGAGAGGGTGGTGCTTCCTGAAAGGGTGTGGCTCCCTCAGTTTTCTTAGGATGGGTTCATGTTGGTGTCATTTAGGAAGAAAAGAAGTAATGCAGGTTTCTTATAAGACAGTTATTTGTAGCATACTTTTTCTCATATGAATTGTAGTTTAAATGGTGGTTGGGGTCCCAGGCTAGCAAGCAAAAACTTAATTAGTAACAGTTGAATTCTAGCATGGCCTCGAAGGCTAGATAAGGAGGAAGAAACAGGTGCTTCTGTACCCTCCCCTGCAACGCCAGATCTAGACACATTTTTAAAACAAAGGATGCCTCTGTCTCCTCCATCTTTTGGTTTCTCATCCTTGTCCTTTGTTGCAGTCCCCCTGCTATCACTCTCACTGTGCTTTGTACTTCCTGTTAGTTCAGCAAGCATTTATTGTGTGCCTGCAGAAGGCCGCCTGCTGTAGTTTTTCATTTTCAACTTTGTAGAAGTTAAGAAATTTGGTTGAGCATTTTTTACAAAATTTAATATATTTTTATTGATTTCTGAGAGGAAGAGAAAGGGGGAGAGAGATAGAAAGATCAATGATGAGAGAGAATCATTGATCTGCCTCCTGCACACCCCACACTGGAGATTGAGTCCCCAACCCAGGCATGTGCCCTGACCAGGAATCAAACTGTGACCTCCTGGTTCATTGGTTCGACGCTCAACCACTGAGCCAAGCCGGCCGGATTGGTTGAACATTGTTATACAGGGTGGGGCAAAAGTCGGTTTAGAGTTGTGAGTACATGAAACAGTTTATTTCTGCATTATTTACAATTGTATATTTTCCATATGAACAGCTGTAAACCTACTTTTGTACCACTCTGTATGTATTGGATAATGATGACATATCCATAACTTTTTAAAAAGTAGTTATTACACGTGTTATAACTACCTAAATGATCCATACATAATTACCTAAATGATATTGGTAACAAACAGAAAGTTCATGAGGCTTAGTGGACAGTATTTTGGAGACGGGGATGGGGGAAGAAACTGGCTTACAGGTAGGCCAGTCCATTTGGGGGAGTTGGGGTGTAGGAAACTTGAGGGAGGAACTGTATTACTCAGGAGCACATATAGAATACGTTATTTTTTAAAACTTACCTTTTGTTCTCATTTATTTCATCCATGAAATATTTGAAGTGTAGTCTTTTGTTCTTTAATCAAGATCTGCTAGTTAGGGTCTAACTGAATTGAAAGGGGCCTTTGCCCTGAAACCAGTCTGCCTTCCTAGGTGGCTGTGGACGGAAGCTGGCGCGCAGTCTGAGCTGGAGAACGCACTGGGGATCGGGGGGTTTGGCTACCCCGCCATGGCGGCCATTAACGCGCGCAAGATGAAGTTCGCTCTTCTGAAAGGGTCTTTCAGTGAGCAAGGCATTAACGAGTTTCTCAGGTAACCTTTTTGCCCTTTTGAGTTGTTTTTGTTTTGTCTGCTTGTTTTTGCTGTGGGTTTTGATTCGAAACCGGGTTGATGTAGAACAGGCAATAAGTGGAATTATTTTGTATTTGACATCAGAGACTTAGAAGTTTATACATTTGAGCTTTTCAGTTGCCTTTTCCATGGGAATATTCTGCAGTAGCAGTTGATGCCCATGCTGCCCTGTTCTCTGGTCACCTCGTCCTTCTGTTCAGTTGATACTGGGTTCTTCCTGATTCTCGTCAAGGTCTCATGGGCGGGAAGCAGCCTGTCTCCCCCATTCCCACCCGAGCGTGCTTGGTGCCCTTGACCTCAGATGATCCGGTTGCCATTTCTGGGCATTGGTCTTAGCATGTAGTTATTTCAGGATGGTGTTACTGTAAAACAGGCAGAGTAGCAATTACCGTTTCCCCACTTTCCCACGTGCAGATAGCGGCTGTCAAGCACCCACAGGAAACGTATCTATCCTTGGGGTTTCCCAAGCCCACATTCCAGCGCCCTTCACCAGAGCGCATTCGAGGTTCCTGTACAGCAGCCGTTTCCCAGCCTGTGGTCTTCCCGGGCCTGTTCTCTCTCCGCGCCTGCCAGAGGCAGGGCTCGCGTCTCCCTGAAGCCGAGCGGCGAGGGAAGTGCTGGCACTGTCCGTGGGTCGGTCACGGGGCCTGCGGAGTCGGGCTCCTGTTCACAGCAGGGCCTCAGCTGGCTGTGGGACCGAGGAGAGGAATGGAATTGCCGTCTTTCACACAGCCTTTCTGGGGGCTTAACTCTCAACTTGGTAGTTTTACATAATTTGTATTTTAGCAAAATACACGTGCTGTTTGTTAAACGAGCCGCTCTGACGCCGAGCCCAGTGGATTCCAGGCCTGGTGTGCGGTGGTCCTGCTTGACATTCATGGCGTGTCCCGGGAGTCCTGGGAGGGTGTCTGCATGAGCAAGTGGCAGACCATCCTCTACAGCTGGCTCCCCGTGCACCCGCAGTCCTCTAACGCCTGCGCTTGTTTGGCTGTTTCCCCCAAGGGAGCTCTCTTTTGGGCGAGGATCTACAGCACCTGTAGGAGGGGGCGCTTTCCCCGCCATCAGCACCAGAGAGCCTTGGGACGGCAAGGATGGCGAGGTGAGTCCCGGGACGGGCGGGAGGCTGTGTGCGCAGGACTCGTGACGGGGACGCCATCCTCTTTTTACCTTCCCGGTCCCTGCGTGTCTTTGCTGCTTGTGAACCGAATCCTTTGCGTTGGAATGACCCGCTCTCTCACAGACCCCCCACCAGAGACCAAGTCCAGGCCGGGACATCTGGTCGACCCGCGGCCTCCTGTTTTGGGGAATGTTGATCGACGGGAATTTTCGGGGGGGTGGGGGGCCGGCCCTTGGCCCCCCTGGGAAAGGGGCCGCGTCCGGACCTAAGCCTTCACCTGATGCCAGAAACATCACAGCCTCAGGGAGCTCCCTCCTCTCAGGGCCTCATCCCATCCCCCCTGTGAATAGGGCTGCATGGCATTTGGTTTGACCCCAAGATCAGGCCATAATGAGGTTGCTTTCCGGACAGCACCCCAGAGTGAACATGAACCTTGAATTCATGCACCTGCCTTACAGAAATGGGAAGTCACAGCTTTGAAATGAGCCTTTATTCTGGCACATTCTGCCCGCCCTCCTCGACAGGCCAAGCTGAAGAGTGCCAGTAGAGCCATGTTCCCTATGTTCTCAGCTTCTCGCCCAGCTGTAGAGTAGACCTGGGTCGGGCAGGAGCGGGTGTGGTCCGGAGCGCCTCGGGATCATTCCTCCTCTGTGAGCGGAGACGGCGAGCTCCAGGGCCGCCTGGTCTGCGCCTGCGCCTGACTGCGGGCCTGACGTGTTCCCTGTTTTGCAGCTTCCTGTGGAAGACGACATTGACCTCAGCGACGTGGAGCTGGACGACTTGGAGAAAGACGAGTTGTGAGGCTCAGCACAACTTGCGCCTTCTTTTCTTGGGAGCAGATGTTTCCAGCAGTGGAGGAACGTTCTCTGCAATCAGATGCATCTACTGTGGCCTTGTAACCAAGAAGTAGCACTTGATTGGTCATTTGAAAACACTGCAACAATGAACTTTTGCATCTCAAGAAAACAGTGAAAAATTCTATGAATTGTAGCCAGTGGATGGGGTGGCTTCTGTCAAGTACTATTTTGAAGAAAACTGCTGGGCTGTTGAAACACTTTCCCTCCCTCTGACTGCTGCTGGGGTGTTCTTGGAGGCTGTTTCTTATGTCAGTTTTTTAATGTGATTCTTTCATTTGAATATTAATGGCTTTTCCATGAAAGAATAAAACAATATTTTGGACAATGCCAACAAATGTATGAAATTAGTGTCCCCGTCATAAATTCAGAGCCTGCTGCTTAGCCAGTCAATTGACCTGGTGATGACGGCCTGGCCCTGAGGTCTTTCCTTTCTAAGAACGTGTGACGGATGACGCCATCTGGATGCCGCACAGCACACATTCCCGTGGCTGCAGGCCAGGCTCCCCGGGCCTGTGACGTGGAGAGCAAGTTCACAGAGAGGACGACAGGCAGCCCCGCAGTGGGAACGGCTCAGGCCCCACCGCGCGTGGGGCCACCAGCAGCGACGGCGGGGGCTGCAGCTGGTTGTAGTTAGCGCACGTTTTCAGTGTTGCTACTAAGTCCTCACAGAGCGTCCCTTAAGACAGACAGCAGCAGGTGGCCCCTGCTAAGCAGTCCCCATCCATGTAAAACATTCAGAAAAAGGAAGTGTGGATTATGTTAGATGTAAGTGAAGAGCCCATTGGAAGGACTGAGCACTTCTTTATTGTAACTTACAAAAAATAAATACAACAGTGAGCAACTTCTGTGAGCCATTTCTCTGAAAATCTAAGTCCTGTAGGAGACGAACTTCTGCGGAGGGAAAGGAGCATCTGTCATGTCGTCCGCATGACAGGAGCTGAGCTGAGCGGCGCCCACTCGCCCACTCGGCGTGCTAGTCGAGAAGACTGAGGTCGATGCGGAAGTAGACGTAAGGAAAGTAGTCTTGGTTATTGAGTTGCAACCCAGGGATATCCATAGCTGCCTGCAAAAAAGACGTCATGTTCTAAGTGCACAAACGAGTTTCCAGTTTTATCTTTACCTTTTGGAGGAAGCTCTAGGCACTGACCACCTGCTCTGCCCTGCACAGCTCCCACCCCACCCCCACCCCCACCCCGCCACACTCACACACACACACACACACACACACACACACACACACAGCCTTCACACTTCCCTACTTGTGAAAGGTAGATTCTCACAAGAGCCTGGCAAGCACCATTTTGGGAACGTTTGCACCACGCGGAGAGGCTGACCCAGGCTGTAGACGGGCTGTTTCCGCGTCGGATACCTACATCCAACATGCTGGCAGCTGCCACTTCGTCCAGGTGTTTGAAGACGGAGTTCAGAACCTCTCGCAAACGCTTGGTGGACGACTTCTTTTGAGGCTGGAGGAGCACAGCCTGAAAATTCACCGGGAGTCCATACCTTCCCGGACAGACAAGCTGTGTGAGTAGGTTACCCTGAGGCAAGTGTGGGGGCAGGGAGCTGGGCGGGAACTAAGCGGGCTCTGCTGCAGAGCTGCCACCAGCCCAGCTTGAGAAAAGAAAGCTCGTTGAGCAGCGTGGCCAGGGTTGGGAGAAACAGATGACCAGGTCCTTCTGGCTAGACAGATCCCTACAACACGCTGGCCTGCTTCTGACAGGAGGGTTGTTGACTGGGGAGCCGGGAGGTCAGCCCAGCCCTGGTGGCCACTAGGTGGGAAGTGCGTGGGGTAAACAGGCAATTTGACGGACTGTTCTGACCCAAAGCACTGACTGGACCCAGCTGGTTTATCAAGCTTGTTCGTTCCTTCTCCTGAGTTTCTGTGGACAAAGGTTTTGAATGGACTTGGCACGCCTGGGTCCATACTGCTCGCCACGCGCCTTCCTGTCCCCGCGCCAGCTGTGCAAGTCCGTAAAGGGTCAGACCCTTGGACTTGCCCGACGCGCAGCGACTCATGTGGCCAAAAACCTGTTACTACTCCTTAGTTTTTATTTCCCAGTGTCCGTAAATTCCCCCTGGCTCCCACACTTTGCCAGTCCTCACTTCTGGCTGCTGATGCCGTGTACCCCGAAATACTGAAATGTATTTGAGCTGCAGAAAGGGAAGTCAACGGGACCGGGGAAGTGGGCTGTCTGTAATGGCGTCCCGTGTAACCAGGCGTCAGGCCTACCTTCCCCTGCAACCCCCTCACTGCTGCAGGGTCCAGCCTTTCTTCTCCCCTTTACATCGCCATCTTGCCTTGTTCCAAACAAAAACTTCAACTCCCTACAACTCCTGGTCCAAACGTCAGTGTCCAGTGTCCTGTCACCATGATCTGTGTCACTCAGTCATCCTTTGCCTTTAGCTTCTCACACCAGGGACATCAGCACCTGAAGCTTCCCCTCCCTGGCCCTCCAGCACCCTCTCCCGTCTCACTTCCTCAGGGGCTTCTCGGCCGCCACTCCTTAAATGCCGGGGGTCCCTGAGGTGGTCCCTCCCTGGGTGAACTCCATACGTCAGTCATCATGGAGGATTCCCTAACGTGTTCCTATTGAGACCGCGCTCAGGGTCCAGGCCGAAGTGCTAGCCCCCGGCCCCCTCAGCAGTCCCACCACAGCCCCGCCTGAGGCCCCGTCCGGTTCATCCAGCTGACCACCCCGGCTCACTGACCCTGAAGATGAACTAGAGCATCCTCACTTTGATGCTACTCTGTCCACAGTCATTTAGCATCTACTCTGTGCAATGAGGCCCGATAGAGGCAGAGGGGGGCTCAGCCCCAGCCCTCCCCGGGGCTCCCAGAGGAGGAGAAGGTCAGAAGCAGCATCTGGAGAAGGCGGAGTGGCAGCACCAACGGGGGCAAAGGCCAGCGGACGTTCCCTGCTGCTCTAACGCACTTGCTCATCTATTCTCTCAGTTACGGTCTCTCCATAGGCTGGGAAGTGGAAGGCCTTTAAAGAGGGTCAGGTAAGGCCGGCTGCTGTGGCTCAGGGGTTGAGCGTTGACCTATGAACCAGGAGGTCCCGGTTCGATTCCTGATCAGGGCACATGCCCGGGTTCTGGGCTCGATGCCCAGTGTGGGGTGTGCAGGAGGCAACTGAGCAGATGAAAAAAGCAAGTTGCAGAATCTTAGGTATAAACGATCCCAGTGGGGGGACACGGAGACTTGAAACTCTCCGCCCTGAGCACAGGTGGGCGTGGGACCGTGAGGAATGTTTCCCACGGCACAGACTCTGAGCGTGACTTTTTACAGTGCTCACGTCGCACAGCTGTCTCGGGACACTGGTCACCGCGGCAGCAGGGCCAGTCTGGGACTCATCACCAAGGCGCCAACCTCTGAGATGGGGGTAGAGGATGAGGAGCCAGGGTCAGCTCCATCTGCGTTTGGACAAAACCACCTTGGCAGCCGCGTGGAGGATGAACTGGGGGCAAAACCAGGTAGGAGCCCGTGGCAACAGCCGGGCAAGCTGAGGTGGGAGACGAGCGGAAAAGAAAGCAAAGGCAGGCCGGGCAGGCCTGTGAAAGGTGCGGTGGGTGGAGGCAGCAGGGCAGGACGTGAGGGTGAGGGAGCAGCGGAGGCCAAGCTGAGCCCTGGCAGTGACGGCGCTGGAGGGAGGGGAGCCACGTAGGCAGAAACCTATGTTGGGAGGAGGGCGGGACCGGAGACGCAGCAGCTTGGGCAGGAGTCGGGCTGGCCAGCCAGGTGGGTGGTGGGAGGGGACCCGGGGCAACCTGCAGTGCAGGCGGGGAGGGCTGGAGGGGCACCTCAGGATGTGTTCACGACTCGGGACATGTTCAAGCACCCAAAAAGCAGGCTTCAAAAACTAGTTCCTGTTTGACTCCGTTTTCATAAATACATAGGAAGATTATGCACATCTGTACATTTAAAAAGTCAAAAGACAAACTGCATTTTAGCAGTGTTTTCTCTCGCTGTTCAAGTTTCAGGGGATTTCTATTCATTATTTGTGCTTATCATTTCCAAAATTTCCACGGTGAACCTATTTTGCTTTTGTTTTTTAAAAAAAGGTATCCTAAGTTTTGGTGCTGGTGGTTTATGTGGTTTGGGTTTTACTTTTCTGGGGCCTTGTGAGCTCTAAGGTCCAGGTGTGAGAGGGGCTGGTATTTTGCAGGGTCCCTGGGCCCTGGCGGCTACAGCTGCGGGGCTGGGGGGAGCCAGCGGGGAGACCGGGAGGCACCTGCCTGAGGCTGGCAGGAAAGGGATGCAGCAGGCAGCAGGGGCCTCGGGGCTGAGGGAGGGTTTACTGGGCCCCGGAAGTCCTGGCCCTGAGCCTGGAGGCTGGAGGGGAGCCCATGGCCCCAGAGCTGCTGCTCTCGGCCACCCCACCCCGGACAGCCCGGCGGGCACCTCCGCCGACCTACCTGAGCACGGACTCCACGAACACTCTCAGCGCCTTGATGTGCACCCAGGCGATAAAGGCTTCGCTGAAGTTCACCTTGAGCCAGCGCAGCAGGGGGCCCTGCAGAGAAGGGGAGCCGTGACCCCTCGGCCCCTCCGCCGACCCGAGCCAAGAAGAGCCTGCCCGTCACCAGCTCGTCACCTCCAGGCAGGTTGGACAGAGCAAGCCCCGAGCTGAGAAGGAGCGCCCGGGGCCAGCAGAAGCAGCGAGTCGGGCGCACAAGGCCCGGGCGAGGCCCAGGACCGTGCTCTCCGGGGGGCCTGGGGCCGGAAGCTCAGCGGGCCAGCCACCGGCACATGCGTGGGGCCACCTCAGACCGGGCAGCGGGGCGCTGGGCAGCCCCTGACCTCAGGGCTTTCAGCAGGCAGCTCACAGCCTCCATCAGATTCTGTGCTACAAGGGCCACCTTCTTGGAAGGCTCTGGCTGGGCCCCACCTCACTCTATGACCACAAGCCCCAGGGCGTGAGGGTGTCACTAACGCTGGTGTGGCCGGTCACCTGGGGGAGTTCAAGTCTCGCAGCAAAGGCCCTGAGCCCACAAAGGTCAGGAGTGGGTCCAGCCAGGACAGGACAGCGGAGCTGCCGCCCACGCCTGCCCCCAGCAGGGCCTGCCCGTCACCAGCTCGTCACCTCCAGGCAGAGCAGAGGCAGCTTGGCCCATAAGCACCGTCCATTGTTGGGGGGCGGGGCCGCCCCAAAGAGGCCCTGCAGATTAGAGGGAAGGTCCCGCTCTGGGCTCCTTGAAGACCTCAAAAGCCACTTAGAGAACAGAAAGGCAAGGATTTGCCGCTCAGACACCTGCGTTGGCGAGGACATGCGAGCGGGGAACCCCAGGGCTCCGGGGGTTGCTTACCTCACTCTCGCCCTCACTCTCTCTCTCTCTGTCGCTGTGCCCCGCAGCGGGCCTATCGGGGTTACCTAGCGGGGTTACCTTAACCTTGTGGTCCGGGAAGGTGGAGGATCCCTTTTTAAGAGCAACACAGGAAGTTTGCTAAAGGCACAGAAACGATTTATTAATCTTTCAGGAAACACACATCAGAAACAGAAACCATTCTCGTCCCCTGAAGGAAGGCAGGCTCAGGGATGCCGCCCGCCCAGGGATGGAGGTGTGGCCCTGTCTGCCCCGCCCCGGCCCGGCCCGGGAAAGCCTTCCTGTGGCTCCATGTTCCGGGGAAAGAGCCCATCTCTGGCAGAGGGCTGGGGTTACACATCACTCCCTCTGCCCGGCCTGGGCCAGGGCAGCTCCGGAGCTGTCTGTCTGGGCTCGGTCAGGGGGTCTCCACCCAGCCCAGCCACAGCAGCCTCCTTGGCCTTCGGGGCGCCGGGCATGCAGTCAGTGCACGGCACCCTTTATCATCTTTCTCTCAGACAGGTGGGCAGCGCGGGAGACTCCCACCCTGTGATCTCAAAGGGAACTGACCACATCCGGGACCCAGCCGTCCCTTCCGCTGACAAGTAGCCAGAAAGATACAGGATGCTGCTCATGCCCACCTCCAAACAGGCTCGGGGCCAAGAGTCTGCAGGAGCCGGGCGGGCTGGCCCGCTGTCGCCCGCTCCCTGGCGCACAGCGAGAGCTCGGAAGGGACTGAGTGTTTCCGAGTTAGTGTGTCTCCCTCTGAGCTCCATTCCCCGAGGGCCTGGCAGGGCTCCCGGCTGCGCGGGCAGAAGTCTACACCGCGGGGAACCCGAGACCCGGTGCAGGTGTCGGCTCGGGTGTCAGTGCTGGGTCCTGGGGTGGGGCGGGGGGGGGAGTCTGTGCCAGCGCACGGGTGGGTGCCAAGGAACCTGACCACCTGTCCTCTGGGCAGGACCTGCCGCCCGGACACTTGTGGGAGCTGCCGTGACCCAGCTCCCGTGCAGACACACGGCAGAGAGGTGGGTCAGTCACTAAAGAGACCTCAGGAGTGTCCCCAGGCGTCAGGGCTGAGGTTCAGGTGCCACCCTTCTGGGTCTCAGCTCTGGTGCTGAACACCTTTCCTGCCTGGGCGCCTGGGTGCCTGGGTGCATGGGTGCCTAGGTGCATGGGTGCCTGGATGTGTGGGTCCCTGGTGCCTGGGTCCCTGGTGCCTGGGTCCCTGGGTGACTTGGTGCGTGGGTTCCTGGGTGCGTGGGCCTGAGTCCTCAGGGCCCAGGGCTCCAGCTCAGCCCTGTCTCAGAGGATCTGCAGTGTGTGCGTCCCTTCGGGGTACACGTCTATACACACACGTGTGCAAGCGTGTTTATGGTGTGTGAGCGTTTTTATGCTTGGGGGGCATTTTATATGCTCGTTCCCATGGCCTCTCACAGGCCCCGGTCCGGTCCAGTGGGGCTCTGAGAACCCCATTTCGGGGGCCCCATGGCTAGTGCTCGCTCCTGAGGGGCAGCTTGTCTGGAGTCCCTCTGAAAAGACCATCGAGCCCGGCCCGTGTGCTCAGTGGTTGAGCATCAACCTATGAACCAGGAGGTCAGGGTTCAATTCCCGGTCAAGGGCACATGCCAAGGTTGCGGCTCAATCCCCAGTGTGGAGCGTGCAGGAGGCGGCCGATCAGTGATTCTCATCATTGATACTTCTCTCTCTCTCTCCCTCTCCCTCTCCCTCTCTGAAGTCAGTAACAAAGTAGTTTGGGGGGAAAAAGGCCATTGACCCAGAGAGGTCAGGCCAGATGTGCAGGGTGCCCGGCCCGCCGTCGGGGAGGCTCGGGGCAAACACTCGGCCACAGGAGAGGCACTTGTTGCTTCGCACGCCCTTGCCGCTGTTTACACACGGCCCTTCCTCCCAGAGGCCGGGAGCACACTCACTCATTCTTCCTCCCGGCATCGAGGTGGGTGCTCCCGGAGCCCTCCCGCTAGCACTGAGGAGGGGACCCGAAACGCTCCACCCAGACGGGCCACACGCCTTGGCCCCGCTCCCAGCCGGAGGGCACCCCGTCTGGAATGCACCCATTTTACAGAGCGGCGGGGGGAGCGTCCCTGTTCAGACACCAAAGTCTGGTCTCCCTCTTGAGCTCGGCTGCCCTCAACGTTTCCGAGTGGCCGTTGTCGGTAATCTCAGGGTGAGCACCCCCTCTTTGCTAAAAGCACAGCGAGGGTAAATAGAGGTGCTGGGGCAGAGGCGGCACATCACACCTGGAACTCACACTGCCCCGGACAGCTGCGTGGCCTTGGCCTCACCTCCGGGGCGGGGCCCTGCCTGCAGCCCGGCCTGCCTTGCTCGACCTCGGGGGGGCCCCAGGCAGGGTCCTCTCCCAGGGCCTGGCTCATCACCCTCTCAGCGCCCTGACTTCTCAGCGACAACGGAGCCAGTCCCTTCCTGGGAGAGCAGTGCCAGCGCTCGGGGAGACCTCGCTTGGAGCTGCCCAGCACCATAGTTGACAGCTCAGGCGCTACCTCCACAATGACCTACGCTGTCACCTCCCCAAGACCTGCTCTGGCTCCCCCAGGAGAGCACATGTTCCTTGGGGTGGCGGCGGGGGGGGGGTGCCCAGGGGCATGGGGATGGCGGGGCTGAGAGGCGGGGACTGGCAGGGCCCTCTGTCCCCATCTTGCCCGAGAATCCGGGCCTGTGGCCTGTACTCACATATTGTTGCTTCTTAGCCGACAGCAACCTGGTCATCTCCTCCCGTTCCCGTGTGATCTCTTTCTCATCATAGTAAAATTCTCGGACCGTGAACCTTAACCAGGCAAACAGAGGCGGTCACGGAGCCGCTCCCGGGGGCGGGGGCCCAGCCAGCCCGCCCGGCGCTTACTTGTTCTCTTTGGCTCTGGCTTTGAAATCGTCAATCACTTTTCGAAACAGGGTCACGGTGAAGAGGCCGCCCTCCTTGTCCTCAAAGATCAGCCTGTGGGGAGACGCATCCGCTCGCTGGACTGGGCTGGGCTGGGCCGGGCCGGGCCGGCACACTGTCCTCGCTCTCTGGAGGAGGTCGCTGCAGCCACGGCCGCTGTCCCCTCCGCCTGGTGGCCTTGCACACCCGGCCTCCTAGGCTCCCTCACTCCTGGCTCTGTGGTCCCGGCGCTCCCCTTCCTCTCCTGCCCGTTCTCTCGCCCCCCAAGCCGAGCCTCAGGGGCCTCCAGGCCGGTTAAACCCAGGCCCAGGGGAGGAAGGAACGGGAGCCTGGTTGTGCCATGATCTGGGGTTGGGTCCTGTTCCTCAATTGCCTGAGAGATGAGGCCACTCCTGGTCTCGGTCCCCTGGTGCGCCCGGTGCCCCTGGCCCTGGCACGCTCCGGTACGTGAACCTGGGGCGGGGGGTGAGGGGTGTTTCGGTTGGTGGAACATCTCACAGTGGCCACTTCACGGCCACTGTCACAGTGTTCTAATTAGACACACCTCCTGGCACACGTCCACGGAAAGCCACTGTGGCCGCTGTCCCCAGGGGCGTGGGGGTGGTTGAGGCCAGTGATCTAAGCATCATTGAGTCCTGCTGGCCAGATGCCCCCCATGGGGGTCCTGGGGCCCAGGCAGAGTTCTGTGGGCTGCTGGTGGCCCCTCTCCTGTTCCTCAGAGCCCACACCCAGGAGGCTGGCCGCAGGCTGGAGGCCTTTCCAGGCCATCCCTGCAGACCCCAGGGGCTCTGGTCTGGGAGGCCAAGGCCCTGCAGCTGGTGCCCTGGCCCTCGCCAAGCAGGCCAGTGCCTGTGCCCGTCTGCCCCCCTCCTCCCCTCGGACATGGCTGCCCTGGCTTATTCCTCCAGCTCCCGGGGGACCTCAGGCTGTGGCTGTCCTGTCCCCTGCACCCCTCACTGCCGTCTCCTGTGAGTCTGTGGTCCTGGGAGAGCCAGCCTTGGGGCAGGCGCCCGCTGGCCTCCGGGCTGGGGTAGGAGAGGGCAGGGCTGCCCTCAGGCTGAGCCGAGTGCTGGAGGCAGGTGAATGGCCTCGCTGTCAGGTCTTTTAAATAAATCACAAGCTATTTCAGACACAGGCGAGGCACAGAGCAGGACACATACCTGTGTACCGGCCCCCGGCTACAGACATCACTGTTCATGCAGGAGAAAGCCCTCCCCCGCTGACCTCTCTGCCCGAGGTCACCCCTGGCGTTTCTCACCCCCAAGACCCCCATAATTCTACTGTGCACCTGCCTGTGCCCAAGTCTCAGGGGGTTTAGAGCGGCCATCGTTAGACCTTAACTAAATGGCTTCACGCTGTGTGTGCCTCCGCAGCTCGCGTGCCACGCAGACCTACCTGTGCCGCTGCACCCACCCGGCATCGCTGGCTTTCCCGCTCAGTGGCTGGCATTCACGGTCTGAATATATTCTTTCACCCCTTCTTCTGTGAGTCACCCAGCCCTCACTGCCCACAGCAGCTCGGACCTACACGCTGAGACTGTCCTCCGCCCCTCCCCCACTCTGTGGCCACCACGGCCCCGCCCTGGCCTGGCCCTCCCGTGGGGAAGAGGCCACACCCAGCTGACAAGGCAGAGCAGAGGGCAGCCAGGGAGGGCAGCCAGGGAGGGCTTCCCGGGGGAGGGGGCAGGGAAGCAAAGTCCCAAAAGATGGAGGGAGTCTGGCACGTCGCTGGTGCATGGCCACTGCAGGTTGAGGGACTCTTGGTGGGCACAGTGTGTGGTGGTTGGGTGCCCCAGGGCACCCACACATGCTTCCCAGGGACCCCCGGGTTAAACCGGCATCGCACTTACTTGGTTGACCGAGGGACCACCATGTCCGAGAGGGATTCGTAGGTCTTCTGCCATTGTATGTAGTTTTGTCTGCGAGAACAGAGTCGTTAGTGCTTTCTGCGGAGAAGGCTGTGGGGCAGCGGTTCTCAACCTGTGGGTCGCGACCCCTTTGGGGGTCGAACGACCCTTTCACAGGGGTCACTGAAGACCATCGGAAAACACATATATAATTACATATTGTTTTTGTGATTAATCACTATGCGTTAATTATGTTCCATTTGTAACAATGAAAATACATCCTGCATATCAGATATTTACATGACGATTCATAACAGTAGCAACATTACAGTTATGAAGTAGCAACGAAAATAATGTTATGGTTGGGTCACAACATGAGGAACTGTATCAAAGGGTCGCGGCATTAGGAAGGTTGAGAACCACTGCTGTGGGGTGTCCTGAGTGTTGAGGAAGCTGTACCCCCCCTTTTCCCGAGGGACCGAGGCGAGCAGGACGGGCCCTGCAGGAGCACTGGGAGCCCCGTGCCCAGCCCGGTCCTGGGCCGGCCTCCCCGTGGGGCCCTGAGCACCGGGAAAGGCGTGTGTGAAGGACTCGCCAGAGACGCCGGCAGGGGCGGTTTCTGCCCTGGCTCTGCATGGCCCGGGCCAGGCAGCTGACCACAGCTCCCCCGGGCTGGCGGGAGTGAAATGACCTGTCTGACACCTGGCGCATAGTAGGTGCTCAAGGAATGGCTGCTGCGGCCACTGCTCTTACCCTGCAAGCATGGTCCCCACCTGGCTTCCTCCAGGGCCCGCACCCCGGCCGTGGCGGGTGGGCCTCGGGCAGGGCCGGCGGCCTTCCGCAATGACTAACTCGGGCTGAGACGCCCACGGCCCCCCTCCCTGCCCACTTACGTGGGGACGATGACCAGGAGGGTGACCAGATACTCGGAGTCCAGCACAAAGTCGTCTTTGTTCACGATGTCGCTCAGTGTCCGCGTGAAGAGGTTTGCCCTGAGCCCACGTGGGACAGAGGGGGCGTGGTCAGCAGAAAGGCACGTGGAGGCGGCACGCACCCGAGCACCCACGGCACACACACGGCCGGGACGGGAGGGGCAGGAACCTCCATGTGGGGGAGGCTTAGGGCGGGGGGGCTCAGTGCACCCCCAGCTCCGCGTCTGGGAGGCCAGCACGGCGTGGCTGGCAGGGCCTCGGGTGCCGTCTCCTGCCAGCCAAGGGGCTGCTAAAGGGGACACCCGTCACTGTGCTGCCTGTGCTGCCACTGCTGCTGGGAGGAGCCCTGGTGGCAGCAGCTGAAGCTACTCCAGTGTCAGCACGGCGGCCAGCTCTCGCGTCCGGGGCGGGACGGCCCAGCGAGAGCTCGTTTCCCGTTACAGGCCCCGCGGGCCCGGCAGCCGGGGGCACTCACCTGAAATAGCTCTCTCCCTGCAGCGGACCTGGCCGCATCGGGGTCAGGGTATTTTTAGCGCCCGGATCGAGGCCACGGCCCCGCAAACGGGCCGAGACACCGCTAACGACCGCCTGGCCGTGTGCACACAGGCCGAGAGGTCAGCTAACACGTTCGTCAGCCCGCAGTGCTTCCCCGGTGAACGGCTCTCAAGCGGAGCCGCCTGGGGCGCCCCCGGGGGCTCTGAGCAGCCCCCAGAGGGTGGCCTCGGGCACAGGCAGGAGGTGTGTCTGCTCCAGGCCTCCCCTCCCAGCCAGCTCCCGAGTCAGAAGTGCCTCTCTGTCCGTCTGTCTGTCTGTCTGACTCTCTCACACACACAGCCCCGTCACCCGGGATCTGCCCCGCAGGGGGAGGCCCGTGCCGTGTGCGGACATGGCACTCACTTGGCCTTCTGGTTCAGGCTGTCCAGCGTGGCCTTGAGGGTGCTGTAGGCGGCCGTGCGGGCCTTCAGGTCCGTCTCGATCTGCGCCAGTTGCTACTCGGAAAAGCAGAAGCGTTTAAAGAGGCGGCCAAGCTTTGCAAACTTGCACACGTCGCTCCTTAAGAAAACAGCACCGAACCTGCCCGCGTCCCAGCTGGCCTCCTGGGGCCACACCTGGCGCTCGGCAGCCCCTCCTCCGGGGCCCCCAGAATCACTGCCCGACGGTCTGCTTGTCCAGCGGGGCTGGGACCTCTGACGCGGGTGATGCCCAGGGAGCCGCACCCACGTCCCCACCTTCCGGCCCCACCCATTTCCCAGACACAGGCGGCAGCAGCCTGGCGTGACGCCGGCCATGGGACAGGACGGGTCCCAGCGGCCACCTCCTTCGCCCGCCCGCCCGCCCGCCCCGCCACGCCCTGGGCCCTGCCGCTCTGCGGAGACAACAGGAGGCCTTGTTCCTGGCGGTGACATTGCCTGTGAGGCTCCCGGTGTGGTGGGGGGAGAGGTGAACACTCAGTGGGACACACGGGGTCAGCACGGCAGCGAGACGCCCAGGGCCCCAGAGCCTCCATTTGTGGCAGAAGCTGGAGGCCACGCTGACCAACATGGCAGAACCACGGGGCCGCGCCAGCTGGCGCCCCCATTGTCACGGGCACCTCCGACGAGGGGCTGGACCCCCAGGGACTGTCCCAGGAGGCAGGGCTGGCAGGAGGCAGGTGGGGACGAGGACCCCCGCCAGGGTCCGGATGCCGTAGAGGGCCCGCAGTCCCCGGTCACAGACGCGCGAGTGTCCCGGAGGGAGCCCCCCCTCACCTTCGCCAGGGTGTCCACCACGCTGGGCAGCGGCTGCTTCGCGGGGTACTTGGCCATGTCCCATTCAAAGTGGGTCACAAAGGACGTTAAGTCAACTGGAAGGACACAAACCCGCGTCAGCGTACGCGCGCGGCTCCCCACCAGGGCCCCTGAGCTGTGCGCCCCCCGGAGCGGGTGCTGTGGGGCCGGGCGGACGGGACGGAACAGTCACACCTGACAGCGACGGGCGGTTGGATCGCTACCTGCCTGGGCCTGAGCTCGCATCCTCGCGCCCTAAAGACCTGGTGCTTATAGAGAAGCAGCGCTCTACCTACGTCGCTCTTCCGTCTCGGGCCCTGCCAGTGACCCGCTGGGAAGTAAGACCCGCTGATCTTTTTAACAAAAGCATCTCTTTGTTAGCATCAGCGAGAAACCCACGTGTGACAAGCAGACTGGGCTGGGAAGGCACCGGGGACTCCCACCTGCGCGGACCTGTGCTGGCACCGAAAGGGTGTGCCGGCTTCCTCCCACCCGTGTGAGCAGGTGGGAGAAAACCCAAAGCAAATGGCTTCTTCGAATGTGGGAACCAGGAAAGGCCTGTGTGGGCCCAGGGGCACCCCTGGAGGCTGGAGAGAAGCAGGCTCCTTGCCCATCGAGGCCCCACAGAGCTCAGCCCGGCGTTGAAGCCGCCAGGGGCCACGTGCCAGCCAGCCCCCGAGAGCAGGCAGGACAGCCACCCGGAGGAAGCAGACTGCAAAGCCAGGATGCAGCTGTGCACCTGGGACCCCAGAATCAAAACACCCCACTCCAGGAGGCACGCAGAGCTGCTGGGCGGCGGGCGAGCCCCCAGGAAGCAGGGAGGGGAGGACACGGCCGCTCTCTGGGTCGTGTGACTACAGTGACCAAGTGCGAGGGGGCCACTCGGGAACCCCGTCGTACCTGGTGACTGTACCCCACCACCAGCCCGAGGTCCCGCCTCCCCAGGGACATGCGGGGCACCACACGGAACACGCACACAGCAACCACGCCCCACCTACTCTTTAAACATTTCATCTTTTCCTTCAAACCTGCAAGGGAAGAAGGTGTCATCATTCCACCGCGTTCGCCCGCAAAGCCCCTGCAGAGCTGGCAGCGTGAACGTCTCCGCTTGTCGATTGGAACAAGCAGATGGGAAGCTTTCTAAGGTTGCGGGAGGGGAACTACGGGTTTCTGTGCAGCAAGTGATCTCGGTGTTAACACGGAGCCTGTCCGCCCCTTTTCAGGGCCGAGGCATCGAGGCATCCAGGCGCGGGCTTGATCGCCGCTGCAGGCATCTCACCACCGAGTTCGTTCTAACGTCTCCAGAGTCGCAGGGGCACTCGAGTTTCAGGTCCACGATGAATGAACCAGAACATTTGGGTCTAACTCTCTACTTACTGGGCGCAACTTAAGATTTCAGTGTGAGGCCTTCCTGGCACGTGAGGGCATCCCCAGCCTCGTTTCGGGAAAGGGATAAACGGTGGGGGGCTGTGGGCAGGATGGAACCTTCCAGGCGGGAGAGGGCGGAGGCTGATGGAGACGGTGGGCAGGCCCAGGCAACCCACTAGACCCCGCCGTACACATTTCCACTTCACGTTTCATAGAGGGTTTTAGCTACAGGGTAAAAAAACGCGACAGGGGACTGTAAACTGGCAAAGGGGCGTGTCTTCCAAACGCCGTGTTGTTGAGCTAACAGCGGGGCGGACAGAGCTGGCTGGGGGGGCAACTGGTGTCTCTGGGCCTCAGTCTTCCCATCTGTAAAATGGGGCAATCCCATCTTGAAGGGTTTTTGTGAGGATTAAATGGACCAGGTCATTGACTTCCAAATGGAGAACACGGTCTGTCACCGGGGTTGGTGGGGGGAGGGGGGAGGGAGGGGAAGGAGGTCCTATCGTCTCGGTCACTGCTGCGTGGCCACACTGGGGCTGCCCGTGGGCCAGTAGGAGCCCAGGAGGCACGCGGTGACCGCGCGAGCAACCTACCTCCGTTGGCCAGGAGGTTCTCCTGGACCTTGCCCTTGGCATCCTCCATGACCTCCACCACGCTCTGGGCCATTCTCTTTATGAGGCTGTGGGGACAGAACGAAGGGCCGCTCAGAGCCGGACACTGCCCCCCAAGTCCTCTCCACCTCCGGTGGCGGGAGAAGGAGCGGGGCCGCCCTGTGGGGACTCATCTGGCAACTGCAGGAAGGGGCCGCACATGCTCACGGCCTCGGAGCCCGAATTTCCACTCCTGGGAAACGAGCTTAAGGAAATGCACAGAGAGAAAAAGGCTGATCCATAGAATTTCAGCATAAGAAGCTGCCCTGCGCCACCACCGGTCCGTGGCACCGCCGGGACAGCGGAGAGCCGGCAACCGCGGGAGGCTCCACCATAGGGGTTGACTGCGGAAGGGACGGTGCCTGCAGCTGGCCCATCGCCCGGCAGCCCCTGCGGACCCGGCTGCGCAGTTTCTGCTGTTGAGGAGCGAGGCGTGTATTGTCACGCTTCATGGAAAACAAACCAGAATCAAACGCACCCAGAAAGTGGGGGTGCCACCGTGGGAGCTGATCTTCCTGCGTCAGCTCTTTTCTAGAACCATCGGGCATCGCCGCTGTAACGGGGAACGGGAACCTCGGAGTCTCCAGAAGGTCCCCCGGGGCTGAGACAGCATCGGGGCAGGAGGACTCCCTCAGCGAGGCTCTGCCTGCGGCCAGTGTGGGGTGTGGGCCGCCTTCATCTCATCCCTCTGAGCCTCGGTCCTCTTAGGTGCCAGACGTGGACCTCACCCATTGGGCAGGACTCTGATGCGCATGAATAGAACCAGCCGGGCATCGAGCGTGTAAGAGCAGAGTGTCCACTCCTGGAGGCTGATCCATTAGAATTTCAGCTGGAAAACTCGCCAAACCAGGATCAGAGTCTGCAAGCTCTGATGGTCCAGGTCTTTGCCTCAGGCCCTCTCTCCTGACTCCCAGGCTCCAGGCCATGGGGGGCGGAGGGGTGTTGTAAAGAGGGGGGGCGGGGGACCAGGTCATTGACCTCCCAATGGAGGACACGGGCTTCTGTGGCTGCAGGCACTGGGCGTGTTGGCTTCATAGAGCGTGGAGGCCAGGGCCGGGCAGGAGGGCACGGGGCAGCCCGGATGGAGGAACAGAGGGCGGGAGAGAAGCCATTTCCAAAAAACATGCCAACCACAGGCCCGTCCATGGCGCATGTGATTGAGGTTTCCCTTTGCTAATACCTACCACTCGGCAGAGTCCACCAAGCACCAAACATTCTATAATCACTATCTCACTAAATCCCCCCCAAAATCCTTGAAGATGGGATTGCCCCGTTTTACAGATGGGAAGACTGAGGCCCAGAGACGTCAGTTGCCCCCCAACCATCCAGTCCATCGGTGGACTCTGGGGCTCCAGGCCCCCAGGCCACACTGCTGTCTTTACTGTCGCGATGGCCCATCCTGGGCTCAGATCTCCCCCCACCCCCACCCCAATGTGTTGGCATTGCTTAGAACAGCAGTTCTGCGTGTTACTAACCGTAACTTGAGCAAGTTCCCCCAGGGATCCCCACCACCAGGGAGCACCTCAGAATAACACAGTCCGACGAAGCTCAGCTGCTGGGAAGCCACTGCTGCGCGAGGACAGATACGGCCCTGGCTTCGCTGGGACCACTGACCTGTCACCAGTGGTGTCAGCGTGAGAACGTGTTTCTCAGTGAGGACTCGGCCTGGGCGGTTTTGAGTTCACTTTTCTCACGTGGCAACTCACTGGGAACGCCTCTGCAGGTCGGAACAGCCTCCTCCCTCAGCCCCTACTCTGCCCAGTGACTGGCTCCTGCCTGGATGGGACGCTGCGCTGGGCACACGCTGGCCCACTCGTGCAGGAGCACCCGTAGGGTAAGTTGCTAAGGAGCAACTACTGGAACACGAGGTGTAAACATGCACCATTTTAGCAAATAGGCCAGACGGCCCTCCAAACATGCAGACCCCATGGATGCTCCGAGCCACAGCGAGTGCCTGCTTCCCCGCACCCTCCCCAGGCCGGTGTCTCTGCCACTCTGACAGCTGGGCTTCAGATCTCAGGCTCGCTCTGTCTGACTTGCATCTCTTCGGTCATCAGCGAGGCCGGACATCTTTTTGTAGGTTTACTGGCTCCTCACACAGCTGTTTCCTTCTGTGAAGAGTGTGTTATATCCTTGGCCAGTTTCTCTACCGGTTTATTCATTAAAAAAAAAAAATTATTGGGCCCGGCCGGTGTGGCTCAGTGGTTGAGCATCGACCTATGAACCAGGAGATCAGCAGTTCGATTCCCGGTCAGGGCACAGGCCCAGGTTGTGGGCTAATCCCCAGTGCGGGGTGTGCAGGAGGCCTCCGGTCAATGATTCTCTCTCATTGTGGATGTTTCTGTTCCTATCTCTCTCTCCCTCTCCCTTCCTCTCTGAAATCAATAAGGATATTTTTAAAAACCCCTCCCATGCCTTTAGTCGGGCCGAGGGAGTGTGACCATGGTAACATCTGCCCAGCCGGCATCACACCTGGGTCACAGCGGAAAGGCCTTCAGAGACCGGGGCGACGTGGGCACTTGCCAGAGGTCACAGGCTCCCGGGTGGCTGGCCAGGCCCGAAACAAGGCCTCACTATTTCCCGTCTCAATCTTAGGGTAATAAATTGGATGCACTAACAGTATTTTTTTTCCATAGGCCCCTCCTCATTTAAAACCCTTGCCTGTTCACCCTCAGAGGGATTTGTGGGTTTGTTTGCTTGGTGTGTGTGTGTGTGTGTGTGTGTGTGTGTGTGTGTGCGGTGTTTTTTTAAGAGGAAAGCAGTCAGCTCGCGGGCACACATTTCTCCAGGCTGCAGAGGCGGCTGGGACATCCACGGAGCCTCTCCAACCACCAGGCTGGGGTTGGGGTGGGAGGTGACTGCCCGTGGGTGCAGGGTTTCTTTCTAGATGACGATGTTCTGAAAGTCCATGGTGGGGGAGGGTCGCCTTGCTTTGCAGATGTACTGCAGCCGAATGCATGGCGCACATCGAAGGGGTGCGAGGACAGTGTGGGGATGATTTCTCAAACGGCAGCGGCACGTCCTGGCCTCTCTCCTGGCTCTGAGGGTGGGGACCCAGCCTGGAGGAGAGGGGCAGGGCTGGCCTGGCCCTGATGCTGGAGGCCACGCTCTGCCAAGGGCCTGGGCTCGGCTCCGGCTTTACAGTGAGCGGAGTGTCCAAGCCCAGCCCAGGGTCTCTTCCTTGCCCCAGGCTTCCTGCCACAGCCTCCTGCTGCTCCCCCCACCCCCTTCTCTCCCAAGCCGGCCTCCCCCGTCCCACGGCAGCTGGAGGAGTCTCTAAAAACACACCTCTTAGCATGCCATCGTACTGTTTAAACTCTGTCCGTGGTTTCCCAAGACCTTCAAATATTGATGTTCTAACTCCTCAGAACAGTGGACAAGCAATAGCCTGGCCTGTCCAGCTTCCTCCCTCCGCCCCTCACCCTCCCGCCGTCCTGGAGCCACCTGGAGGCAGCAGCCCGTGTCCCTCCTCGCAGCCCACCCCACACAGACCACCGTGCTGGCCACACCCCCACTCGAATCAGGTTGCTTCTCCACTCACAGAAGCCACCCCGAGCGCCCAGCACACACCGGGCAGGGCTGTGGGAGACTGGAGTGATGGCCCCATGTGCACGCCGGCTGGGGCGGAAGGAGGTCTGCAGCCGTGAGCGGACGGAGCGTGTTCCCGTGTTCTTGTGGATCAGTTCCTGCATTATTTCCCAGATGAACTGTAAACCTACTTTTGCCCCTCTCTATGTCAAAACTCCTCGATCACAGTGTACCCTTCACACTTTGCCATCTCCTGCATGTTATTCATATTTGCAGGTTTTTTGTTTTTGTTTTTTTAAAGCCTACACAACACCGAGGGAGCATTTCGTACCTGTCAGGGTCGTTAAAACACCCAGATCTGACCAGACGTTTCACTAGAAAGGTGATAGGGAGACGGGGACTCCGCATTGCTGGTGGAAGTGGAAGGTGGCCAGCCAGAGAGGACAGGCACGTCTAGCAAAACTGCAGAGCATCCGGCCCCTGACCCGACAACGTGGCTCCGAGAACTCAGCCTGCAGATGCACCTGCAGGTACGCCTCCACATGATGACGCGGTGCAAGGCTACACGCTGAGTGTGGCTGGCGGCAGGCCCTCCCCGTGCGAGTCAATAAGCCAGGCGGCCTCCCCGGGGACTTCCCCACGCAGCATGCGTGGCAGCGGGAAGCTCACTACGCGCAGCTGGGAGAAATCTCCCAGGATGTGCTGGTAACGAAAAGGAAGCGTGATCTCAGTAGTACACGGGGGTCACTCACTACTTTGTGTTTAAAAAGGGAAATATAAAAATACGTGGTGGGCCCGGCCGGCGTGGTTCAGTGGTTGAGCATCGACCTATGAACCAGGAGGTCAATTCCCGCTCAGGGCACAGGCCCAGGTTGCGGGCTCCATCCCCAGTGGGGGGCGTGCAGGAGGCAGCCGATCCATCTTTCTCCCTCATCATGGATGGTTCTCTCTCTCCCTCTCCCTTCTTCTCTCTGAAGTCAATAAAATAAAAATTTTTAAGAAGATTTTCAAAAATAAATAAATACAAATAAAAAGAGCATTGGCTGCCGTGTGGAGAGTCGAGAAGAGAAAATCAGGAGATGGGCTAGGAGTTTGGTGCAAAAATACAGGAAGGAGAGGAAGCCGGTGTGGATGGAGGTGGAGAGCAAAGCAGCCGGCCGGCACGGAGCTGGTTTGGAGGGGACACCCCAGGGCTGGTCCCACTGACTGTCTGCTTGAGCCCCAGGTGCGTGGGCCAGGAGCCTTCGCTGCGACCAGCAGACCGCATTCAAGGAGAATGTGTCCCTGTGAGCTGGCTGTGAGGATGGTATTAACTTAGGACATGGCCCATGCAAAGAAGGACCATTTAAAGCCGCCACTTACATGCTTGCTTCGGCAGCACATATACTAAAGCTGCCACTTATGCTGGTGAAAAGCCAGCCCTGAGCGAGTGAGCGTGGCCGGGCTGTGGGCGGGAACGGAGGCGCCGGGTCCCAGGAGCTGGCCGAGGTCTACGTCGGAC